TTATTATTTATTTTAGTGTTCTGTCTGAGGACAGGTCCATATGAGCAGGATCCTTCCATCCTTTTCTCGGATTGGGACCTGTTCATATACGTTCTTGGCAGATGATCCAGAAGTGGTTTGCCATTGCCTTCTTCTGTGTGTGAATGGAGTAATTGTTGGGATGCCACGGAGAAACCGGGGAAGCCCCCGGAGGAAAACTCCGTGTTGCCTAGACCACGGCCTTGCCCAACACAAGTTATAAATTCGGGCACCGCAGGGAATCGAACCCGAGACCCCAGGACTACAAGGCCAGCGTTCTAACCGCTAGACCACCGTGGCGGTACAAGGATGCATTAGGCTACGCTAATGGAGCGACCTACGCACGAAATAAGGTTACATTTGAATACATGTTCGAATTGTAAGTAGGGCGAAACTACAGATTGACACAGGGCAGATCTCTGCTTATTGAAGTATTCTACTGTAAGAGACGGTACTGTGTATAATCCTAACAAAGCACTAAATGTGGAAGGCATATCAAACAGTGAAAAATTACAGGTGAAATTTATGACCTAAAACCATGAAACCTGTTGTAAATTCGCGTTGTCTTTAAGCCGAGGTTTGAAACAGTTGTGATGTTACCAACCAAATCAAGAGAATATGAAACACGTTTAATACATAAGACAGAAAAAACATTAGGAGTCTATATAGCAGGTACATTGACTGTCGACAGTGTTTTTGTCACAAGGGCACGGCAGGGATATACAAATATCTTTGGCCTTGGGAAGTTGTGAAGTAGAAACCGAGTAGGGGCCATATACGCCCAAGGGAAGATCACGTGAAATTAGGAGGAAAATTAGAATAAGCCAACTAATCGATGACGAAAGGAGATCCGTGTTAGGAGTTTATGAAGACAAACATAACAATCACTTGCTTGTAAACGGACTGACTATTACGATTGCAGTCCTAATCCCCAGTGTTGACCAGTGTGGAGGAATTTGAGTCCTTGAGGATGGACGAGTGTTATTTAGGCCAAAGAAAAGTAAGCCTCTACCAAGTAATATAAACTAAAAGTATTTCTTGGATTCGCTGGATATTATCTAAAATTTGAGGTCCCATGTTTAGCGAACCATTACTTGGGTACTCAGACTTGTCGCATGCGATTCAAGTTATGAAAGAATTGGAGGCATTCGTAAAGATTTGCCTGTCACATATTTGAACCGCATATTAATTAAACCTGAAATGAATTACTTCACGATTGAGAGAAAATTTACATTTGTTGGATGGGCTCAAAACAGTTTAGACTATATATTTGGAGGCGGAATTTTACCTTTGTAACTGATTGCAAACAGCTAATGTGGATTTCTCGGATAAATTATCTCATTTCTTGAATAATGAGGGTTATGCTGAAGTAAGAATTTTAAAGAAATGCACTGATCCCTCTCGGAAGGCCACTGCGGAATGAACAAAACGTAACAATGATATAAATACTTCATTATTTGGGAAGTACTGTAGTAGGCAGGGCTGTGGAGTCGGTACCAAAACCTCCGACTCCTTCATAAAAGCTCAATATGTATTCATCAGGTATTAATGCCTGTTCCGGCTTCAAATTGAACTTCCCATCTTCTTCTTGGCCGACCTCGATCTCTTTTCCCGCTAGGTCTGTAGCTGAGCGCAGTCTTACGAAGTCTGTCTTCAGACATTCGTTCCAATATGTATTAATAAGAGTAAATGGCACCATAAGAGATTTCATCATCACCACGTGAATCATCAGCCTACTTTTAGAATTATAACCTATATTTAAATATACGTCTAATGGTTTTTAGACAGTTTGTATTCTTAAGGTACAGGGGCCAAGTTACAAAGCATTAATCCCACACCATGTGACTCAACGCATCGTCGAATCTCCCTAAGCGTTAGGCTGCCGGCGGCTCACACGGTATAGAAATAGTTCTTAAGATTTTATATCAAGGTCAGAGTCGGTAATTAAATCAGGCTGAGTCTAAGTATAGTAACACTATACTTAGACCAATTATTTATTTTAATCCGTCTGATCACTATATAATTTTTTATTTAAAATTTCTTATAATTAAGATAATAAAATATCATTCATGTTCCAATATCGATTGATAGATTTACATTTCGGAATATTTGTAAATGTTATGATATTTTATTATCTTAATTATAAGAAATTTTAAATAAAAAATTATATAGTGATCAGACGGATTAAAATAAATAATTGGTCTAAGTATAGTGTTACTGAATTATAACTACTGGTTCCAAAATTTGCATTTCATTGTGGTGAATAAATATTTAACCTTGACGAATGGCTTAATCAAGGATCAGGAAGGATACGTTGGTTGTAAACAAGTAAAGAAAGATGCAATGGATAGGGCATGTAGCACAAAGTACGCATGACATTGGACCAATACAATTGAAAGTTAAAATTTACCAATAATTTTACTCTTTTTAACCTACATTCGTCCAATAATTTCTGACATGAAACATGGTAACAGAGGGCAAGATCTTCCCACTATGCTACACTCACAAACTGACCGAGTGTGACAACACCCTTGATCTGTTTACAGAAACTGCCTAATGAAGCAGCCGGGCGATGACGAACCGGATGAAGGTGTAAGGGATCTGGTGGAACTGGTTCTTCGCAAGTTAGACAAAGATCGAGACGGCAAGATTTCGTTCCTAGACTTCCAGACGGCCTTGATGGAAGAATCATTGCTAATGGAAGCATTTGGCCAATGTCTGCCTACAGACAGGGCTTGTAGAAGCTTCATGACCACTCTTTGTTCATAAAGAAATGTACGTACACCTCTGTTGATTGGATACAGGAAAACAAGATTCGTACGCCACAGCCAGTTTTGAACATTCTTGAGCAGTTACGTCATCCTATGTAAGTAAGTACTAATTACTGTTTCTGGTCATTTCATTTCAAAATGAAAAAGCCGGCCAATTAGACTTTAATGAGATTCATCTACAAATTACCACAGATAAACGTAAATGCGCCTACACAGATTGTAATTAAAGTGACGACTCAAATTAAAGGATGAATTTCACTCACCAAAATGATAAAAATAAATTATTTTAAAAAGGGTCCCGAGAAGCCTGATTTATGTGTTATTGCTCTCATTTGTTCTTAGAAATACTTAAGGCGGCGTCCTGTGTTATAGCTGTGTCTCCATACTTGGCGGAGCACCGGATAGGGAAAACAAGAGGAGTATAATACCAATGTCCCATGATAGTAACTTTTTGTGAACAATTTTTCATCACCTGTTTTCCACAACGTGCTCATCTACTGTTTCCTTAAATTACGCTATAAAACTTTTCTCCGAATTCAAACGCAACAACATTTATTCATGGAAAACATCGGAATACGGCAAACATGAACGTACAGGATGGCCGTTAAGTCATGCATTCGCTGTTTTCCTCATGTTTGATGCAACCTGGTGAAATGCAGGGTTCATCATGTTGCTGCAATTATACTAAAGTTTGGCAAACGATAATCAGGAAATGTTTTCGTTAAGAGCGAGATACCTGGTAGTTTTCGACAATGAACACTCGTTTCACTTGTGAAAAAGACATCTTTCTACTTCGACTGTTGACAATTAACTGATCGAATTATGATGAACTGCAGCCATCAATAATTCTTTAATGAGGGTTGCGTGACTTTTCAATCACCCTGTACTTACAATAATACCTGCTTCAATGTGTTGTGAGATGCAATTCTGAGCTGTCGAGACGTGGTAGTCGTTGATAAGCATTTCCGCAAGTTTCCCATGTTTCCGGAAGAATGAGTAGCAGCAAAGTTACGCAATTCTAGGCCACTGGTAAGTAGCTGACTGGGGCGACAGTCATTGCTGAAACAAATAGTGACATTGAATAGACCACTTTTACAAACCTTGTTTACAAATCAGTATTTTTTTACGTTTTTTTTTGTATGTTAAGCAAAACACCTTGTAACGGTCTAAATTACATTTGCTGAGGTAATTTAATCATACTATTTAATTTCTTATTATTTGATTAATCTGAATTTGTTTTAAGTTTTCTTTTCAAAATTTTAACTTTTTGTCGTGTTTGGAGTGTAATACTGGGCTGGATACTTCCATTCCCTGGCATGTACCTAAGTGTTTAAGACACAGACGTGCGAGGACCTTCGGTTCCCGGAAGTCTTGGTTTTGACACTAATTAGTAATAAATTGTCGTGAATTGGGTGTAGTACCACGTGTCAAACCTTGACATTTATGGCTTCAATATGTCGAAAGTCAGTTTGGACTTCATGGTTCATTGTCACTCAGCAGATGAAAGTTTCTGGACCATACATTTTAAGGAGTGTGAGGGGGAAATTTTTAAAGAGCCAATTAGAGCTGTATGCAAGTGAATACGTCACTGGTTTTGAATGTTTCGAACCAGGAACAGGACGCTTACAGCAGCGCGTCGGTTTGGCATTCTACAACAAACTTTTAACATAGTCGCACTCAAGTCTAATACAATTCTGAAATCGTCTTCTCCTTTCACCTACGCACTCAACGAGCAACCGCAATTCAGTATTAAACCTCGACCCGACACAGTAATACTTCTAGATGTTTTCCGCTAGACACGTCATGTCTCTATCAACTCATCACCGGTATGTTTTATTAAATTTAATTTAATTTTATTTTACTTATACACTCTATTATTTATTTACTTCCATCATTTTGTTTTCTATATTACTTTAATATTTTAATATTTTCCGTCAAATCACAATTTTAATAAGATAATAAAATATGAAATATTTAAAATATCATTTCACGTTCCGCATCGAATGATCGATTTAATATATAAGAGTAATATGATAAGAACATTTCAATAAACTGCATAACATTGTAAATGATTGTAATTCGAGTTTTAGATTTACCAATCTAATTTATACCTGAGGACGGTTAAATATAACCGAAACATGTCGTAAGAGACGTTCCAATTTGTAAATCGATCATTCGATGCGGAACGTGAAATGATATTTTAAATATTTTATATTTCATTATCTTATTAAAATTGTGATTTGACGGAAAACATTAAAATATTAACCCCAATAAAATTGTATGTAGAGCACAAACTGTGAAGTTCCTCATTATGCAAAGTTGTGAAGCCTCATGCAATTTCACCATTCTCAGCTCCAAATTTCTCCTCAACACCTTGATGCCGAAGAACCCTCAAGTTGAAGGTCGCCCTAATGATGGAAGCAGTAAGCATCTCTGAAACGTCGGCCAGTTTCTGCGCTACTGCACGGTGCAACATCACAGATGGCAACCACGTTTATAATCTTAGCCGTGAGAGTCTTATAGCTCAATGTAGGTTCTTACTTTAAGAGACCAGGTATGAGAAGTAAAAATGTCTAATGAAGGACAAAACACATGGGTCTTAGTTATTTCCATTCGCAATAGGCCTGTATGATCCTGGATTTAATATAATAACATTACACTAAATGTCTTCAGGTAATTGAAAATTAGACCATTTCAAAGCGATGTGGGATTTTGGAAACCTGAGAAAATCACACGGTTCCGGCTTGGTTGTTCGTTTTGAAGGACTAAATTTATAATGAATAAATAAGTTGTGTCAAGGAAACAAATCAGTTTTTCTTCCTCCGATTTTCACATTTTCACCTCTCTCTCTCTCTCTCTCTCTCTCTTTTTTCCCTCGGAGATTGGACTTCCCCATTGGTGACCATGGCTGCACGTGTATATGTCATTCCACATAAGGAATTCGCCAATAAATCAAGTACTGGTTATAAACATCATTAACATGGAAAATCGAGAGTGTAAATAAGAAGAAATAAGCATCTTACTTTTATAAGTATGTATTTATTATTCCAGTCTATACACAAACTTAATTTTAAAATGTTGTTGTTAAAATTATAGCGCTTTTTATCGTATTATGATGTTACATTTATTCAGCGCTTATTATTATTAACGACATGTTTCGATGCTATTATTGCATCATCTTCAGGTTTTTATCGTTTTTTATATCTTTAAAACTATTATATATTTTATTTTAATGCAACCATTTATTGATGTATTGATTTGTTTTGTAGATTTTCTTTTGTAGGTTTTTCAGTCTTCGTAATGTTCTGCATGTCTATGGTCAGATGTTCATTTTCTGTGAAATTAACGTCTAATTACTATTATGAAATGAGTTTGGAAATTGACATAGAAAATAAACACAAAGAAACATATACATGTAAAAATATAAGAAACATACCAAATTTGTGATGTGTGGTGTGTCTTACATCTGCTATCGGGTGATGACAATCAATGACTGGGTATGTGTGTTGAATGCTGGTTGTATATTAGGGAGAAAGTTTTTTTACGGGGTTGGGTCAATAAACTGTATTGTATTGAAGATGGGATTGTTTAGGTGTATGTTGTTATCGTTTAGTGCGATATTTTGTTTATGTGTACGTTGTATGTAATATTTTTCAATTGTATCTCTATGTCGTTTATTATGTACTATTTTTATAATGTCCATTGTTTGTTCGATTTTATTGTACTAGAGCAGGGCGCTCCTTTCGGAGCTCCTAGGGGGGTGTGTGTCAAGTTTGTAAAACGCAACCAACCTTGGTTAGTCCCGAAGGGGAGTTAGTTTAGTGTCTCATTCAAGTGTTTTAACCCCTGAGTAAGAAACTAAACTAACCACCCCATGGGGGGTTTAAACACTTGACCAACCCCCCGAAGTGGGTTTTTTGCGTTTTAAAATCTTGAGTAAGACGCTAAACTAACCCCCGTGTATAAACAAATATAAGGTTATATTGTTGATGACGTCATTTTTTGACGACAACGACTACTAATCCTTTCGGAGCGCTTCCTGTAATCTGATATTTTACTTCTTTACGTCGCTGATCAGAGGCCAACAGTTCTTGGTTAGTCAACTTTCTACGTCCAACCCCACCCTTGCAAGTCTTCTTTTTTTTTCTCTTCTGTTTTTTGTTGAATAGTTCTGATGTTTTAGTT